GTGATTTAGACAAATATCGCGAGACTAAAGCGTTAAGTTACAAGGGTCGCCCATGACATATTTTATTGCATTCTGAAAGAATATCAAACGACATCCGGCTCAATTTCATTTTGTAGTGTTGGGTCTTTCATTTTTGATTTTGGGTCAACAATATCCGTCATTCTAATTTCGGGCCAGTTGTTGCATAAACGAATGAGCAAAAGAGTTGTGACAGACGGACAGACAGACAATACAAAAATATAAGGAATCCTTGTTACACTACAAACCATTTTATGGTTTCTAACTTCTATACAATGTAGGATAAGAAAACTCAAAGCTGGAACTAAAACAATGTACACCTTGGACAATAGTATTTCATATAATCGTTGCATGGTGTGCATGAGTACCGTGTTTATTAAATGGGAAGTTATAATTGACAGATCAAAATACATGAGTGGAAAAAAATATTTTTAACTATATCACAAAGGCGTTCTTTTTAGTTCAGTACAAAATTATATTGTCTAAGGTACTTGCTACCGAACTGATAGAATATAACTTCAGAATGTTGCTAATTAAAAGACTAAACCAGTCACTGTGTTCCTGAACATAATAACTAATAAATAATAAACTAAATATAGCGACATATTTAAGGAATTATTCAAATTCAGGTTATTTTATTAAAATAATATCTCAAAATGTTATATAACCAGTACAAAAGCGTAACCATTTGACAAAAAAAGAAATAAAGAAATACCTATAAACAATATAAAATATCAATATGACGATACGCAAACTGCCTCATGATTGGATAAAATATAAGCGGTACTTGGCCAATCACGAACAACCCTTTCTATCTTTTTAGTTTTTTGTTTAATAGCGTTTGTTTGTCTTTCAACTGATTTTGTTGTCATGATTGTTGACATAATATATATTAAATATTGGTTGTGTTCCATTATTTTGATTTACTCGCATAAAGAGTATTAATAATAATAATAATAAAATTCATTTATTCAGACAACTAGATCCACATTTTGTTAGTATTTTACTTATGACTACGATATAATCATTACTTAATTAGGTCTTAATTTCTCATATCTATTCCTTAGGCACGATACTCGACTTTGAGAGCTTTCATTATACAACAATTATATGAAATAGTAATAATGCTAAAAGATAAATATATCGTTATTTTATCCGCTCACGCGATGCGCTCATCCTACCGCAAAATGGCGGCTATTTGGTTTCGCAAATTAGAAAAGGATTCAGTTTAAATACAAGTTTAAAAAAATAAAAATTATTATTCCGCTTTGCTAAATAAATACCCTCCGTACTACAACAAAAACATCTCAAATAAAATGCAGTAATACACCGCAAATCCTGCACTTAAAAAGCACTAATGAAATTTTTGGTGTACTTGGATAAATATGATAATATTCCGTTTGAGTGGTTCTAACGTTTACCATGAAATTACTCCTTAAAGTATAGTTTATAAACATTTATATTCAGGGTAAACTTAAAAAAACGCTACTTACGGTATGTTTTCAATAAATAAACACCGAAATCACCAGCCCAAACAATAACACACACGATTGTCGTGATGTATTTTTGAAGTTGTTTATTTTTTTTTAAATGACAGACCCAGGCATTAAAGACTTTATGGTTTGCTAGAGTAGTTACCGAAATAGCAATTAATATTACTTCTTTTACCTGTTATAACTTCGATATCCGATAAATCGGTATAAAATCATCACCGGCACCTCTAGGTGTGGTATGCGTCTACGGCTGTATGTATCGCGTGAGCGGTTATATGAAATAGTAATAATACTAAAAGATAAATATATCGTTATTTTATTAACCGACTTCAAAAAAAGAAGGAGGTTCTCAATTCGACTGTATGTTTTTTTTGTATGTATGTTACGCTATAATAATAATTAAATTCCTTTATTCAGGCAACATAGACCCATGGTGTTAGTTACAGTTTCACTTATAGACTAATGTTAGTATGTGTAGTTAACAAACAATTAAATTAAACTTACTGAAATACATAATAAAATTTTAAATTAAAGAACACAAATTAAATATCAATAATTAATAAGCAAAAATTAAAAATTTAAAATCAAAAATTAAAATAATAAATTTAAAATCAAAAATTTAAAGTCAAAAGTTTAAAATCAAAAATGTAAAATCGCAATACAAAAACTTAAAAATTAAAATTTCATAATTAAAAATATTATAAATATTAAAAAATAACGGGCGCTACACTGGCATGCAGCTGCAACCACCTACACATTATGGGTGAGTCCCAACGCTTGGACAGCGCGCCCAGAATTCCGTTGGTGCTGGTCCGAAGGCGAGAAAGTAATGAAGCGCTCCGTTTGCGTATTACAGCATAAAAGTCATCCACGCGTGCTTCTGCAAACATGGTGGAGGCGCTACAATACCTCGGCATCTTCAACAGAATTCTGAGCGCATCGTTGTACTGTACGCGCAGTGCATTGAACGCCCGCCGCGTAAAGTTGGTCCATAGGCTGCACGTGTAAAAGCTCTGACAATATGCCCTAAAGAGCGTCAGCTTTACTTGTTTTGTACAGCGTGCAAACCTACGTGCCAACATGTTGCAGCGGACGGACAGCGCCCTACGCTCCCTATCGATGTCCTCACAATCACACAAATCGTCGGTGACCCAGTGGCCCAGATACTTGAATTTATGTACCATGTTCAAAGCAGCTCCACCAAGAGTAATGGGCATGGGAGAGTAGCATTTGGTACCAGCCTTAAACACCATACACTCACTCTTTTTGGAGTTGTATCCGAGCCCATGGGCCTCCACATACGACTCACAAATGTGCAGTAGCTTCCTCAGACCACCCACCGACGGACTCAGCAGCACCATGTCGTCAGCATAACTGATGTTATTTATGCATACTCCGTCTATAGAGCATCCCACATTGGCGCCGCTGAGCCCAACGATAAGTTGGTTCACGTATAGATTGAAGAGACGGGGCGAAGTCAGCCCCCCCTGCCTCACCCCACACTCCAACCCATACGCATCTGAGGACTCTCCTGCCCACCTCACACTATTCTGCTGGTGATTGTACCAATACTTAAAAACTGTCACAATCTCATGGGGTAGTTTAGTTTCAGTTTCCAGTTTCTGCCACAGTTTGTCATAAGAAACCAGGTCGAAGGCTCTGGACATGTCCAGAAAACAAGCATAAACTGGTGTTTTCCTAGCAGTGTAGTACTGAACAGTCTGCTTGAGACAGAGGATGGCACTCTCAGTAGACAGACCCGGCCTGAAACCGAACTGAGCGTCGTGCAGGTGGAGGTGCTTATCCAACTGTTTGTCAAGCAAACTATCCAGCACCTTAGCTATAGTGGTAGCTAGTGAAATCGGCCTGTAATTAGACAAATCTGCAGCATCACCCGTCTTGTTTTTTATTATTGGTACTACCACCGTGTACATTAGATCGTCGGGCAAATAACCATGACATACACATAAGTTGAAGAAGATCGAGAGGACCCTTGGTAGGTGTTGGCCAGCGTACTTTAAGTGCTCGATGCTGAGGTCATCGTGACCCGGCGACTTCCCTCTAACCATCCCTCTTATAACAGTAGCTATATCTTCAGCCAAAAAGCGTACACTAATGTCCTTGGGGTTACCCCCAGCATCGACCACCTGCGGCACCCGCCCGAGCGGCGACTCCACTCTGAAATGGGACTGGAACGCGGCAGCTATGTCCCGTGGCTCGTGCACGCCACCCACACTCACAGGCAGACTCGACCTTGGATTCAAGTTATTTGTTGTTTTCCAAAACCGTCCAAAATTTTTCTTTTTATGATGTTCTGCCAGAATATCCATTTTTATTTGTGTTACATTATTTTGACAAAATTTTAATTTGGCCTTAAAATGTTTTCTAGAGTCGCGCATGTTATTGTAGACCTCCCCACACTTAGGTTTCCCATACAACACCCAAGCTTGAAAACAAAGTCGAGCCCAACCGTGAGCGGCACTGACGTGTCGATTCCACCCTGGCACACGTCTATGGTTATTCCGCCCGGGTTCCCTGTAGGTACACTCAGCCGCAGCTCTTAGCACCCCCACAATATCACAATACATTTTATTTAACAATAACTTATGACTAGAATCATTACACAATTTGTCACCACATTCAGTAAACTCCAATGGAAAATCGAGTAGTTTTAGTCGTGTGTCACAATAATTATGATATCTATCCCTCTGTCCGTCGTCCCTTTCTCCCCACCTTATCTTATTACAAGAAGTGACAGCCTTAGTATATTTAGGCAAAATAATATTCAAGTTGCAGTGTATGAGCAACGGGAAATGATCAGAACAATAGGTATCATACAGCACTTCCACACCGACCATAGTGCGGCGAGCCGCACTAGTAACCACGCAGTGGTCGAGCCACCTGTGTGTTCCATGCGCATCACTCACATACGTAAAAGTGTCACTAGCTAAAGTTTCCATGTCTAAACATGACCAAGACTGTTCCTCGCAGAAAGTTAGTAACTCGTTGCCAAACAACTCACCAGGATGCGCGTTAAAGTCCCCAAGAATGTAGACCGATTCTACACAGTTGCTCTCGATTATTGCGTGTATTTCACTAAGGCACCGAGTGAACTCTGTTAAATTAGCCTCGTTATCACACGGCATATACACTGATAGCACTATTATCGATTGGTCATGAAGCTTTATTTTAATTGCGTTGAGACGCACACTATTACAATTAATCACTGTTACTGAAGGAAACGCGGCTTTTCGCCACAGCAAAGCAACACCTCCGTACGGCCTACCTCTTAGGACACCATCAGTTAGATCGACGGCAGAGTTACCGGTATAAGAAAAATCGCCGTCAATGCTGCCCAGGTACTGTATGTCGTGTCGAAGAAGCCAAGTCTCTTGAAGCGCCACTATGTCCGCCAAGCTACATAGTCTCCTTATATCATCGACAGAGCGAACCACGTTCTTGCAGTTGTAACTAATCATTTTAATATTTTTATGGTCCATTTGATGATTTTCGATCTCCATTCTCACGATAACTTCGTCTCAAAGGAGCTCGAAATTCCACAAAACGACGATATAAAATGCCGTCTGGCCAGAAGTTGTCATTTAAAAGCACCTCAAGCTTACTTTTAGGTACGTAGACTTTATAAGCATCGTATTCCTTTGCTATTTTCATATTTATTTTTTCCAATTGCAAATCTAGGTTGGTACTCGATTTTATGTAGCTCTTTATGTCACACGCTGACGCCTCCTTAGAGATATTATAAATAAAAATCGGTACGCTACTATCAGCCGCTCTAAACCTAGAATCAGCATCAACGATTGCTTTCCCAGATTTTCCTACAAAGCGATTCCTCAATCTCTTTTTCTGAACGAGCGTCCATTCCTCGTCTTGTATACGAGGTTTCCAAACTCCATTTTGCGCAACGTCCAAGTAGCTTTTCTGATCGGTTGCACATTGTTGCGAGCACACCTGACGAGCAGTGTATCTCACACTGGCGATTGGTACAGTGGCCTCCGTCGCCGTACGCGCAGGGACGGCGTGACTCAGTGCAGACGGCGGCGGCGGCGGGCCAGCAGGGGGCGGGGTGACGGACATCGAACGCTCAGCTGAGCATTTTTTACTAGGCGGTAGGTTTGCACTCGGGGATATCTGCGGTGATTTTTGTGTTTTATCACCCTCCTGCGCAGAAACAATTCGATGCTCTTGTAATGCAGATTTTATTGCCGAGTTATTAACTTCACAGCCCGTCGCAAGCCCCATGGGCCCACTATCGCACTCGAAACTCGACCAAAGACAGGCACCTCTCTTATTGTTGACACTACGGGACAATGGAAAGTTGTTGACGATCGATGCATTCTTAAGTGCCTCAAGCTCCGTCCGTAACTTCTGTAGTTCTACCACTGTGGCATATTCCTCACCAATTCGGTCTATGTCATTCCTCATCCTCACAATATCCTTAAGAAGGCGGGTCACATCTACATGATCGAAATGAACCGGGGGTAATTTTTGAAGGTCTCTCGCCACAAAAATGGGGATTTCCTCGGGATCCGTCTCCTTCAGGAGGCAGACAATGTCACCAACATTACGTAGCGTTTTTCCTTGCCGCTTTCTTAATTTCTTACATTGTTTTGCCGGTATGCAAGAAAACAGCAAATCTTTTGCGTTAACAATTTCTTCTTCGGAGAAAGCAGTGGTGCATATTCTGGTAATACTCTCCTCATCCATGACATCCATTTTGTTACAAATAAATGCCAACACCTCATTAATTACAATTTTACAATGTATACACTGTACTACGTTACAAGCCATTGTTTAAAATAACGGCTACTTCGCGCCCGCACAATAGCGACACAAACACGTCACGATCGATCGCTGGCGCGCGCGGAACTGACGCTATAATGGCGCTATAACACCGGTATTTGTGAACCGATTTTGATGATTCTTTTTTTGTTGGAAAGAAGGTACCTCCATAGTGGCCCCATTTAATTTTGAAGAAAACCATCCACCCCTAAGGGTGGCTGTTCACGCATGAAGATTCATTTTTATAAATAGCGCTTAATTTTATTATAACGAGCAATTATTTTAATGGTTGACTTTGATATTCTCCAATTCAAGGCGTTTTTCTCTCTTAATATACTTTGAGTAGTGAGAACCGATCTCCTGTGTCAAGTTCCGTATAATGGCGAACTAGGAGATGAATCCGGGTTTACGCACTTTCCGTTAACCGATTTCAATAAAACTTGGCGAATAGATGTAATTCCAGATACTTTTGAGGTCGGGTTTGTTAGTACTCTGTAGTGAGATTATAGGTAACAAATTAAACTAGAATCATCGCATTGATTATACTTTATTACTCATTCGTAACGCAAATTCCCTCGAGAAGAATGAGCAAGAGATTCAATCAATCGCTCTTTATAAATGAACATTTGTATACATTTATCTTTTACAATTTAATTTAAAAATAATAATAAGAATAAGAAAACTTTACTTAAACCGCCAAGCAGTAATGTCAGCATTACTGTGTTCCGGGTTTGAAGGTGCTGTTGAAATTACAGGCACATGGGACTTGTCAACTCATGTCTCAAGACGAACGAGCGCAGTGGTAGTGCCACTCAGATCTTTGCAAAGCTCCGAATGGCACTGTAACTGTTATGGACAGGCGTGTAGCTTAATATCAGGCGCACGACTTGTTCATTCCGTCACCCATTTTACGCAAAACCTGTATAACAACCTTTAGACATTATTAAATGTTTTGTTTCACTATTTATTTAATCATCAAAAGACGAACAATCGGAAATTTTGAAAATCAATCGGAATCTTATTATATTAAAAGCCGGACAGTCACCATGACGAACTGCCACGCAAAGGACCTAGGTTCGATTCCCGGGCCGGGAGAAATATTTGTACGGCCTACATTCATGTCTCTCGTGAGTTTGGGTGTAATTTGTGGTTTCTCCAGTGCTACGTTGAGTGTGTGCGTTATTATTATGATTATACATTACCCCTTACATGATTTTGTGTGTTTTTGAAGACGACTCGTCAAGCATAGTCAGTTTATTTTTATTCCCATTCTGCTAATGTTAAGTCTGTCACTATTTTCCTTAAAATATCTAATCTTCTTAACATAAATTTCAGACGCTAGTATAAAAATGCTAATTTCTTTAAACTTTTCTGTCAACCCTAGGGACCAAGATTATTAAACGCACGTTTTCGCAGGACAAAGATTCTATTAATATCGGCGGCATTGCCCCAAAAGCAAAAGGGGGTCTTTTAAATTTTTATTGAATTGATATTCAATTATTTTTTATTTTTTTATTTAAGAATTTTTTCTGAAGGTTCCATCTTTGTATTAATAAATATAACAAACTAGTAGAGTAATTTCACAAAAATAATTGAATATCAATTCAATAAAAATTTAAAATACAGCGAATAGCGACATCTCTCGCCAGGACTGGTAACTGTAAAGGTACTAACTGGGTGATAAATCATTCATAGATTTCTCATAGATAGCGCTACGACAAAAAAGTTGTTGAAGAAACAAATACAAAGACACGACGCAAGCACATAGAAAAATTCGTGAGGTCTGCTGGTTCGTTTTGTGGCTTAGTTGGTATAGCGTCTGGCACGGTATGCTAGAAGACGTCGGTTCGAATCCGGCCGGATCGAAGGAATTTTTTCTGAGTGTTCGATCTTTGTATTAATAATTATAACAAAATGAGGTATGTCATTAAACTATGAAAGTAGCTATAGTGAACTAATCTGATTGTTTCTACGTCTGAAAGTTTTTGTATTTTAGCTGTTTGGATAACTTAGTTATTTGCAAACCCCACTGCAATATAGCGGTCTAAAGTTATACCTAGAATATAACTGTACCTATTAGGTTCAACGTTTTGTTCCTAACTATGATGTTTGTAACCGTCAATGTATTTTAAGGATGGAACACCTAATACACTAGCTTGTGGTTTACTTGGTTTGGATGCTGTTCTTTTGCTTGCGTCATAGTATGTTCCGTGTAACGGATTTTAAAATTGCATCAAAAGAGATCTCAGAAAAATGAATAAATAACGCTCACATGCACACACTCATAGCCCCGCGCTAGGGAAAGCCTGTATCGCGTGTGCCATGGACACACATAGACAGCCAAAAATAAAACCCAAACTTACGAGAGAAATAAATGTAGGCCATACAAATATTTCTCTCGGCCCGGGACTCGAACCCGGGACCTCCGCGTGGCAGTCCAGTGTGGTAATCGTTCGGCCGCGGAGGCAGTTATAATAGGCAGATTAAAGTTTTTTACGGTAGGTCACCATTAAAACAAATTTGATTTATTAATTTGTAATCAAAAAGAGGGAAGTTTCAAAATTTTCTGACTTATCATAACGTTGGAAGTTCGCTTAATTAGAGAAATTAAAAGGCTATGATAAGAGCTCATTAATTTTTCGCCGAAGTTTTGCCTTAAATTTGCCATTTTCTGGAAGTTGAATGGGTTTTATAGATAGGTACGTTATTATATTCGTAGTCTACTCTTGTATATACTCCTGCATGCATAATGTATAATACTTCTGCACACTGCGCCCTTAATGGCAGAGGATTGTGAAGAGTAAAGTCCACGAGGTTGAAGAGCAGTGTAAAGCTGAACACGATGCTAAACGCGACGAGATAAAGGCCCGTCCACCCTCCGCCATTATCTATAGTTAGATTGGCGATATACTCACATGCCCTCAATCTGCACGCCCGAGTTCGCCAGAAATTGGCTGTCATCTTCGAGCGCAACAGCGCCGACCTAACTAGGAGTCAAAATGGTCATCATGACAGAGCACGGTCGGATAGATAGATACTCCTGTGCTGTTGCCACCCGTTTGGGGTTTTGGTACTTGGTACTTGGTACTTGGTACGGGCTGGTGTCCGCAACTCGACATCGAGTCGCCTATTTTGCATATGGTGAGTGCAGGATCCTACTCTTGCCACCCAAGCTCCTCCAGGAATCTCAGCAAGCTGCTCGGGAGCGACCTCGGCACTCCAAAGTAAGTTTACCCATTTGACAATTATGGAAAGCTTTCACAGAAATGCTAAACATAGAGATGACCTATAACAACGCTTGTGTTATAGGTTAAATAAATTTATTTCATATAAATCCGTAATAAAGTAAGGGTCGGCTCATTGTTAACCGGACTGAACTGAATCCGTAGCACAGTTTGCAGAGCGGTACCCACGTTGAGGCAACAGGCGCTGGTTCGAGTTTGAGTTTCTTTGTGTTTATTCGATCTTTGAATCAGTAACATAAAAAACTTCTTCCTACTCTTATTAAAATCTTTTTCTAAATCTGCGGTAATGAACATCGAAAATCCACTAATTAACAAACCAGTAATCGATACACCAATAATGAACACTCAATAATCGACCATGTCAATAAAAAACGTATTATTGTCATAGAAAATTTTTGTCCTCAATTTTATTAGTAATTAATTTAAAAAATATATCGAACACTAATGTTTGTCGATCACTGGAACCACCACCTTACAATCACCAGTTTTTTTTTTTGTAAAAGCTTTTCCCAGTTCGTCTTTACCACTAAAGTCATTCGATAAAATATTTAGTGTTGTGTTTAGCGTTAAATTCTTTAGAGTAATGGTTATTTTATACGATCCTAAAAGGACTAATATTTTACTATCATTAAAAAGCAATTTACCCAATTAAGGGTTATAAATATATTTCTAGCCTTTGTCAAACCTCTCTTAACGATCACGAATCAATTATTATTCTATTATTGTACATTTATAATTACAATAACAACGCATAGCAGCATGTAAACGTAGCAGATAAAGCGAAGTAGTAACTTCTTGTAGGTAGCACTTAGAAATTTAGAGGTTGCAAAGGCTGGGCAATTAAAAAAAATAGGGTTGGGTAACTGGTTGAAAATTTTGAATACTGAAAATTTGACATGAGAAATGTATTAGAAAATTAAAATAAAGAAATATTACGAAAAATATTTTTGTTCTGCATTTTTTAAATATAGAATTTCTCCATAACTCAACACTTACTAGGTGCAATAAAAAAATATATTCCATTTTTTTTTTATAACACCAAGGGATGGGACGAACAATGGCAGTTGCAGTATTCAGAGCTTCAAATCGCAAAGTTATGAACGGCACTGCCACTGCGCCCTGAGACTTAAGTTGACAAGCCCGTAATTTCACCAGCAATAATAATAGATGATAAATAGAGAACTTTAGGAATATATATAGGTCAATGACATAAAAATTACAACGTTGCCATGAACATTTTTATGGCAGTTTCATAGTTGCTAAGCAGAGCGGCTGTGATAGTTCCATCGGAGGGGTTGCGCTCAACGCGGGGCCGGGGGCGTGGGGTGTGAGACACGTCCGGGGAATCACTTCGCAATATGACAACGTGATAACGACTAGCGGCAATGTGTACAGTGTGTGAAAACGCCGCACTATCGACATCGAAGCATCTAGGCTAATGGTTGTTTCTATATCTAAAATATACTTTTTGACTACCTATGTGGTTTAGCCATTAGTGCGCGATAGATCATCTTCATAACATGCTCCATTTAACTGCCTCCATGGCCGAACGGTTACCACGCTGGTTTGCCACGCAGGGGTACCTGGTTCGATTCACGGAGAGGTCGAAATATTTGTATGGCCTATGTTTATTTCTCTCGTGAGGTTGGGTGTAATTTGTGGTTTTCCTATGTCCATGTCACCCGCGAC